TTACCTTTTCCATTCATCTTCTTTTGATCATCAACTTCTTTCCCTGCTGTCCAGCCACTGACCAGTTTCCCTTCTTGACCTGAGGACTCAAAACAGGAGGACTACTCCGAATCTTTTTGTTTTCCTCGGTCAGTCGCCGAATTTCCATATTCGCCAACCTCAATTCTTCCTTAAGCTGTTGGTAAAGTTGCTCGATGGAGGGCATCTTGCTTCAATTCTAGAGAGCGCGCAAACAGGTCTTCACAGAGCCAAGTACACGTCAACACTGCGCAAAAGCCAACTCAATCAGGAGCTACTGCGCAGCACGTCCGCATGGCCCAATAGCGATGCGAACACTGCTTCACACCCATATAGGAGTGTTGGTAAAACTATACTCTCAATACATTCCCCTCTTTGCCTCCAAGGACAAAGTTCTTTGTCTCCACAGACTCCTAAGTGCACCACTCGCCCTTTTCCCCTCATCAATTCTATGATTCACCTCATCTTTCATAGACCCATCCACTGACACATCCACTCCCAAATATCTGAATACATTCACCTCCTCCATACTCTCTCCCTCCAATCTGATATCCAATCTTTCATCACCTAATCTTTTTGTTATCCTCATAACCTTACTCTTTCCTGTATTCACTTTTAATTTTGTTCTTTTGCATACCCTACCAAATCATCCACCAATCTCTGCAACTTCTCTTCAGAATCTCTCAAGAGCACAGTGTCATCAGCAAAGAGCAACTGTGACAACTCCCACTTCGTGTGATTCTTTATCTTTTAACTCCATGCCTCTTGCCATGTTACATAAATAATTATAATAATTGTTAATAAGAATAAGCCTTAATAATAGAAGGACGTTCATTTCCAATTTAGCTATTAAAGGAAATAACCGCAATGTAATATTAAAGAAAGGTTAACAATAGGGGCATGACAATGTGCTCTCCCCGGACTTTATCCAAGCTGAAGGTGTTCCCCAGGGATGTGTTCTGAGCACAACACTTTTTCTCCTTGCTATAAATGATTGGCCTCTAGTCTTCCATCCAATATTTGGTCATCACTCTCTGTTGATGACTTTGCTATTGCATGTGCAGGCGCTGACTGTCACCTCATTACAGTTTCTCTCCAACATGTGGTCGACCGTGTTTCCAATTGGGCCACCACACATGGGTTTAAATTTTCCAGTACCAAAACTCGCCAAATTACTTTCACTAGACGCTCTGTCATCTCCGATCATCCTTTGTACCTCTATGGCTCCCGTATCCCTGAACGTGACACAGTCAGGTTTCTAGGCCTCCTCTTTGACCGTAGGGTATCCTGGAAACCTCACATTACCTCTCTGAAGGCAACTTGTCACAGCCGGCTGAACCTTCTTAAAACCCTTGCTCATCTTTCATGGGGAGCTGATCGTCGAACTCTCCTTCACCTACATTCCGCCCTCATTTTATCGAAGCTTGATTATGGTGACCAGAGCTATTCAGCGGCCTCTCCTGCTACTCTCTCTAGCCTTAACCCCATTCATCACCAAGGATTACGTTTATGCCTTGGTGCTTTTCGCTCTTCCGCTGTTGAGAGCCTCTATGCAGAAGCGAACATTCCATCCTTATTCGATCACCGTGATGCCCATTGCCTTTGCTACTATGTACGCTCTCATGATCTCCGCAATCCTTCCATTTATAGAATGGTCACCGATATTAGTAGACATTCTTTATTTGTTTGCCGCCCCTGTTTGCTCCGTCCCTTCTCCCTTCGCCTACATTCGCTCTTGTCTTCTCTTCAATTACCACCTTTCTATGTTCATGTAACATCTCACTTTTCCCTACCCCCCCTGGGAAGTTCCAGCTGTTTGAGCCTGTTCTTTCTCGCTCCCTTGCTCGAAAGCCCAACTGTCTACGGTAGCTTCCCGCTCTCTTTTTCTTGATCACTTCCACTCTCATTCTCATGACATTGCAGTGTACACAGATGGCTGTAAGTCTTGTGACGGCATAGGATTCGCAGCAGTGTTTCCAGACAACGTCGTACAAGGGCATTTACTATCTTCAGCTAGTATCTTTACTGCTGAATTGTATGCCATTCTTGCAGCACTTATCCGTATTGCATCTATACCTGTGTCATCATTTGTGGTTGTCTCAGACTCCCTTAGTGCTTTACAGGCTATACAGAAATTTGATACACCTCACCCCTTAGTCCTCCGTATCCAACTTTGGCTACACCGCATCTCTTCCAAGCATAAAGATATTGTTTTTTGTTGGGTCTCTGGTCATGTTGACATACAGGGCAATGAACAGGCAGACACTGCTGCACGGTCAGCAGTACATGACCTACCAGTTTCATATAGAGGCGTTCCATTTACGGACTATTTTGCTGCAATAGCTACCCACCTTCACACCCGTTGGCAACAATGTTGGTCTACTCTGCTCGGTAACAAACTTCAATCTATTAAACCAAGTATAGGTTACTGGCCGTCTTCTTGTCACCAGTGTCGAGGTTAGGAGACTACTCTCTCCCGTCTTCGCATTGGCCATACTCATCTTACTCATGGCTATCTCATGGAGAGGCGCCCTGCTCCTCTCTGTGAGAATTGTCAGGTTCCATTATCAGTTAGCCACATTCTGTTGGACTGCCCACTTTATCAACGAGCACGCAGAATTTACCTCTGTCGTCGTCTTCGCTCCGCTGCTCTCTCTTTACCTTCCCTTCTCGCTGATGGACCCACCTTTCATCTGGACTCTCTCATTGACTTTTTGACAACAACTGACTGACTTCACAAACTCTGATGATACCTTCAGCCCTTTCTACCTCAATCTCTTGCTGCCCTCTACCCCTGCACTATCCCCTGTCCCGCTGTTTTCTGTAACCTACTGATCATCCCTCCCCCCTTTTACCGCCCAATACCCTCGCTTCCTTCCCTACCCTGCAGCGCTGTATAGCCCTTGTGGCTTAGCGCTTCTTTTTTATTATAATAATAATAATTTCCATTTTGGATTTTTATTCACATAAAAAATAAAGATTTACTGTTATGCAGACTTTTGCATTATTGAAAAAATGGTATAAATAATATCAACGCATTTGTGAAAGCATATTAGACCCACCAGTTGACGTGTATTGGACACGTGATGTGAGCATTTAGCAAAAATTTAGCATTTCTGCTGCTTTGAGCTCTATTTCAAGGTATTTTTAGTCTAAATCATTCAAAATCATCTCTATTTCTGTAATATATCTTTCATTCCATCAAATGATACCAAGAAAACGAGAATACAATCATAAATGGCATACGAAAATACACCGCAAAATCGCTGTAAGTGTATTTTATGGGGTCTGAAATGGATTAATCTGATTTACATTATTCCTTGAGGGAAAAATTCGTTCGGTACTCGAACAGATCATCACTCGAATAGCCTTCTGGAACTAATTAAGTTCGAGTACCAAGGTTCCACTGTACATATATCTAATAAGAACAATAATGTTTATGTGAGTACAGTATCTTCCTTTGATGGTGGCACAGTGTGGAGGTGCTGGCAAGTATGGTGCACGTGTTACTCATCATTGCCACCAGTAAACATTATGAACTGTTTCCCCAGTCCCCCCAGGTGTCTAGACACTAGCAAACAAGACTATAAAATTATTCCACTTCCAACATGCAAAATAGTTGTAGGGACTTAAAAATTTATCTCTTAATTAGATCACAATACAAACTGAATTGTAGAGGTAGCTGGTATTAAATAAGTGAAGCGTTGAATGAGAAGGACTTTGAATAAAAGAGGCATGTTAATAATTATCATAAATGTGAATCAGCACTTACTTAACAGGTCCCCTTACAAAGATAGCAGGTCCTTTCTCCCTCAACTGCCCACTACAGTCATGTTCTATACAGGACCAAGGAATAATTACATCTTTTTTCCTATATACCCAAGCTGTTATTAACATAAACAAGTAATGCAAGTGGACTGTATTTAATAAGTATCAAGATAATCCTAAGATTTTATACTATCAGGATATCAGGGAATTAGTTAATATATCCACATACTGAACAATGTAAACTCAAACATTTTAGTTATATTTGTTAATGACATACCATGTAATGCTAATCCTAATCATCCTAATAGTAAATTCCCTGCTTAAAAAGCTCTGAAATGAAAGGGAAAACTGTGACAGTTTGGGACTTTGAACTGATAGGTCAAGGAACATAAATGTGGTGGTGAATAGTGAGTGAAGAGCCACTGGAAGGTGAAGGATTGAGGGGTGCAGCTCCAATCAGAGACCCTTCACATGTAGAGTTTACTGTACTATCCTTGACTCATGCTCTGTTTCAACCACATAATCACACACCATAGCAACTGAAGGGCAACTCCTCAGGCACACTTCTCAGTCAGTTGGCTAACCACTTACTAGGTACTGTCTAGCAACTGCTAGGCTAGTGCATGGCTACTCATTACCAACTGTCCCAGATCAGGGAGAATACCTAGCATAACATACTTACCGTTTGCTATGTGATACCTTTTAAATTGAATTTATTTATAATGTCCAGATATTTTTGCGTAAATTCTATTAATTATATTTTTAAGGTTTTAGTTTCACATTTTAAGCTTGTTGACAAATGGCAGCATCCCTTGTCATATGCACAACCAGCTTGAGGTTTCATAATGTGTGTTAATAAAATAATAGGAGAATTAAATTGACTGAAAGACTGTGTATTAACATTTGTACACTATGAATAAGTTACAAACTTAGCTTAATTTGGTTATCCTAGATTAAATTCTACATAATATATAAAAACAGTGTAAAAGTTTTGCATTACGTACGAGGCCTAAATATGAATTTGTACTACAAACCTTTCAATACTGCCACAGTATGGGTTTAGGGTACTTAATAAAGCTATCAAATTACCTTGAAAGTACACTGTGTGCAAACTTGGAGTTTGGGTTGCTTGCCTTGGCTTTGGCTTATCTTTATTTTATATATAGAAGTTTATCATCGTGTCACTGAACCTATCATTTCTTTTCTTCTTGCAGTGTATATGAAAACAAGAATTCAGGAGTAAGCTTATTCTTCCAGCGGCAGTTTTGGGTAGCCTGGAAGCTTTTAAGTTCTACGTTAATGTGGCACAAAGTCTTGAGTGATTCTGTCATTCATGATTTAGCTGTTCGTTCCCTCCTGAATTTGTACCTGTTGCCGGCACTCAATTTAGCTGCTGAAATCAATCCCTCCGATGCACTTGACAAATGTAGAAATGTGAGTATTGCACTTTATTTTCAAATCTTGTAGTAATGTTAAAGTTGCTTGAGGTAACTTTAAAAACATTTTATGGACAATTTCTACAGTTATCCATGAAGAGTAAAAGGAGAGTGAACCTTCACTGTGACACAAGGCAAGGCATAATACTTCCAAGAAGGAATAGAGAACAGGAGAGAAGACATCATATAATTATGAAAGAAAAAAAATTGTAATATTATTGAAGCTAAAAAAAAAAATATATGCTATACTGTTAAATAAGGTTCCTGCATTAAACGTGTACACAGGTGAATTAAGGTGGTAGTCATGTAGTATTCTTAGTAAGTTTTGTATTGGCACATTAAGAGCCAATTTAACATTAAGAAGAGTTTCTAATGGGTACCAAAGCTTGTTACCTCAAATAAAATTTGGTATGGTAATCAATATTTACCTCATGCAGTAAGTGTATGTAATGTTTAAATAAAATGTTTTTGACATTGAAAGAAAATGCAGTATAAATAGTAGGTTGGTAGACAGCAACTGTTTTACATGATGGTAGGATTGCTGGTGTCTTTTTCTGTCTCATAAACACGCTGGATAACAGGTATATCTTGCTACTTCTACTTACACTTAGGTCACACTACACAGGCATGCACATGCATATATATGCATACATCTAGGTTTTTCTTCTTTTTTTATAAATAGCTCTTGTTCTTCTTTATTTCCTCTATTGTCCATGGGGAAGTGGAAAAGAATCTTTCCTCTGTAAGCCATGCATGTCGTATGAGGCGACTAAAATGCCGAAAGCAATGGGCTAGTAACTCCTTCTCCTGTAAACATTTACTGAAAAAGAGAAGAAAAACTTTATAAAACTGAGATGTTTGAATGTGCGTGGATGTAATGTAGATGACAAGAAAGAGATGATTGCTATTGTTACGAATGAAAAGAAGTTGGAAGTCCTGGCCCTAAGCGAAACAAAGCTGAAGGGGGTAGGGGAGTTTCGGTGGGGAGAAATAAATGGGATTAAGTCAGGAGTATCTGAGTGAGTTAGAGATAAGGAAGGGGTAGCAATATTGTTGAAGGATCAGTTATGGAAGGAGAAGAGGGAATATAAATGTGTAAATTCAAGGATTATGTGGATTAAAATAAGGGTTGGATGTGAAAAGTGGGTCATAATAAGTGTGTACACACCTGGAGAAGAGAGGAGTGTAGAGGAGGGAGAGAGATTTTGGGAGATGTTAAGTGAATGTATAGGAACCTTTGAATCAAGTGAGAGAGTAATTGTGGTAGGGGACCTAAATGCTAAAGTAGGAGAAACATTTAGAGAGGGTGTGGTAGGTAAGTTTGGGGTGCCAGGTGTAAATGATAATGGGAGCCCTTTGATTGAACTTTGAATAGAAAGGGTTTTAGTTATAGGCAATACACATTTTAAGAAAAAGAGGATAAATAAGTATACAAGATATGATGTAGGGTATAATGACAGTAGTTTGTTGGACTATGTATTGATAGATAAAAGACTGTTGAGTAGACTTCAGGATGTACATGTTTATAGAGGGGCCACAGATATATCAGATCACTTTTTAGTTGTAGCTATAGTGAGAGTAAAAGGTAGATGGGATACAAGGAAAATAGAAGCATCAAAAAAGAGAAAGGTGAAGGTTTATAAACTAAAAGTGGAGGCAGTTAGGGTAAGATATAAACAACTGTTGTAGGATAGATGGGCTAGTGAGAGTATAGGCAATGGGGTCGAAGATGTATGGGGTAGGTTTAAAAATGTAGTGTTAGTGTTCAGCAGAAGTTTGTGGTTACAGGAAAGTAGATGCGGGAGGGAAGAGGAGCGATTGGTGGAATGATGATGTAAAGAGAGTAGTAAGGGAGAAAAAGTTAACATATGAGATGTTTTTACAAAGTAGAAGTGATGCGAGGAGGGAAGAATATATGGAGAAAGAAAGAGAGGTTAAGAGAGTGGTGAAGCAATGTAAAAAGAGAGCAAATGAGAATGGGTGAGATGTTATCAACAAATTTTGTTGAAAATAATAAAAAGTTTTGGAGTGAGATTAACAAGTTGAGGAAGCCTAGGAACAAATGGATTTGTCAGTTAAAAATAGGAGAAGGGAGTTATTAAATGGAGAGTTAGAGGTATCGGGAAGATGGAGGGAATATTTTGAGGAATTGTTAAACGTTGATGTAGATAGGGAAGCTGTGATTTCATGTATAGGGCAAGGCGGAATAACATCTTCTAGGAGTGAGGAAGAGCCAGTTGTGAGTGTGGGGGAAGTTCGTGAGGCAGTGGGTAAAATGAGAGGGGGTAAGGCAGCTGGGATTGATGGGATAAAGATAGAAATGTTAAAAGCAGGTGGGGATATAATTTTGGAGTGGTTGGTGCTATTATTTAATAAATGTATGGAAGAGGGTGAGGTACCTAGGGATTGGCAGAGAGCATGCATAGTTCCTTTGTATAAAGGCAAAGGGGACAAAAGAGAGTGCAAAAATTATAGGGGGATAAGTCTGTTGAGTATACCTGGTACAGTGTATGGTAGAGTTATTATTGAAAGAATTAAGAGGAAGACAGAGAGTAGGATAGCAGATGAACAAGGAGGCTTTAGGAAAGGTAGTGGGTGTGTAGACTAAGTGTTTACAGTGAAACATAGGTGAACAGTATTTAGATAAGGGTAAAGAGGTTTTTGTGGCATTTATGGATTTGGAAAAAGTGTATGACAGGGTGGATAGGGGGACAATGTGGCAGATGTTGCAGGTGTATGGTTTAGGAGGTAGGTTACTGAAAGCAGTGAAGAGTTTTTACGAGGATAGTGAGGCTCAGGTTAGAGTATGTAGGAAAGAGGGAGATTATTTCCCAGTAAAAGTAGGCTTTAGACAAGGATGTGTGATGTCACCGTGGTTGTTCAATATACTTATAGATGTGGTTGTAAGAGAAGTGAATGTGAGGGTCTTGGCAAGAGGTGTGGATTTAAAAGATAAATAATCAAACATAGAGTGGGAGTTGTCACAGTTGCTTTTTGCTGATGACACTGCTCTTGAGAGATTCTGAAGAAAAGTTGCAGAGGTTGGTGGATGAATTTGGTAGGGTATGTCAAAGAAGAAAATTAAAAGTGAATATAGGAAAGAGTAAAGTTATGGGGATAAAAAGATTAGGTGATGATAGATTGGATATCAGATTGGATGGAGAGAGTATGGAGGAAGTGAATGTATTCAGATATATGGGAGTGGACATGTCATCAGATGGGTCTATGAAAGATGAGGTGAATCATAGAATTGATGAGGGGAAAAGGGTGAGCGGTGCACTTAGGAGTCTGTGGAGACAAAGAACTTTGTCCTTGGAAGCAAAGAGGCATATGTATGAGAGTATAGTTTTACCAACGTTCTTGTATGGGTGTGAAGCATGGGTGATGAATGTTGCAGCGAGGAGAAGGCTGGAGGCAGTGGAGATGTCATGTCTGAGGGCAATGTGTGGTGTGAATATAATGCAGAGAATTCGTAGTTTGGAAGTTAGGAGGAGGTGCGAGATTGCCAAAACTGTTGTCCAGAGGGCTGAGGAAGGGTTGTTGAAGTGGTTCGGATATGGAGAGAGAATGGAACAAAATAGAATGACTTCAAGAATGTATAAATCTGTAGTGGAGGGAAGGCGGGGTAGGGGTCAGCCTAGGAAAGGTTGGAGGGAGGGGGTAAAGGAGGTTTTGTGTGCGAGGGGCTTGGGCTTCCAGCAAGCATGCGTGAGTGTATTTGATAGGAATGAGTGGAGACAAATCGTTTTTAATACTTGACATGCTGTTGGAGTGTGAGCAAAGTAACATTTGTGAAGGGATTCAGGGAAACCGGCAGGCTGGACTTGAGTCCTGGAGATGGGAAGTACAGTGTCTGCACTCTGAAGGAGGGGTGTTAATGTTGCAGTTTTATAAACTGTAGTGTAAAGCACCCCTCTGGCAAGAAAGTGATGGAGTGAATGATGATGAAAGTTTTTTTTCGGGCCACCCTGCATTGGTGGGACTCGGCAGATGTATTAATAAAAAAAAAAAAGACTTGAGTGTGGATATTTATTACTTTTTTATTTACCTGTGATTTCAGGTGGTATTTGAAAGAATCCTTGACTATCTGTAACTCACTCGCTTATAGTTTTGTTTCATGTGATTCTGTAATAAAATAAAATCAGTGTGTGTACTCACCTAGTTGTGGTTGCAGGAGTCGAGTCACAGCTCCTGGCCCCGCCTCTTCACTGGCCACTTCTAGGTCACTCTTCCTGCTCCATGAACTTTATCATACCTCTTCTTAAAGCTATGTATGGATCCTGCCTCCACTACATCACTTCCCAGACTATTCCACTTCCTGACAACTCTGTGACGGAAGAAATACTTCCTAACATCCCTGTGGTTCATCTGAGTCTTCAATTTCCAACTGTGTCCCCTTGTTGCCGTGTCTCATCTCTGGAACATCCTGTCTCTGTCCACCTTGTCGATTCCTCTCAGTATTTTATATGTCGTTATATCCCCCCCATCTCTCCTGTCTTCCAGTAGCGTCAAGTCGATTTCCCTTAACCTCTCCTCATAGGACTTACCCCTTAGCTCTGGGACTAGTCTTGTTGCAAACCTTTGCACTTTCTCTAGTTTCCTTACATGCTTGGAAAGTGAGGGTTCCAAACTGGCACTGAATACTCCAACATGGGCCTAACGTACACAGTGTACAGGGTCCTGAATGACTCCCTATGTCGGAAGATGTCGGAAGGCTGTTCTTAGGTTTGCCAGGCGCCCACATGCTGCAGCAGTTACTTGGTTGATGTGCACCTCGGGAGATGTGCCTGGTGTTATATTCACCCCAAGACCCTTTTCCCAGAGTGAGGTTTGTAGGCTCTGGCCCCCTAGACTGCACTCTGTCTGTGGTCTTCTTTGCCCTTCCCCAATCTCCATGACTTTGCACTTGGTGGGGTTGAACTCCAGGAGCCAGTTGCTGGACCAGGGTCTACAGCCTGTCCAGGTCCCTCTGTAGTTTTGCCTGGTCCTCGTTCTATTGAATTTTTCTCATCAACTTCACATTATCTGCAAACACAGACGCTTCAGAGTCTATTCCTTCTGTCATGTCGTTCACAAATACCAGAAACAGCACCGGTCCTAGGACTGACACCTGTGGCACCCCACTCGTTACAGGTGCCCACTCTGACACCTCGCCACGTACCATGACTTGCTGTTGTCTTCCTGACAGGTATTCTCTCATCCGTTGTAGTGCCTTCCCTGTTATCCCTGTCTGGTCCTCCAGCTTTTGCACTAATCTCTTGTGTGAGACTGTGTCAAATGCCTTCGTACAGTCCAAGAAAATGCAGTTTACCCACCCCTCTCTCTCTTGTCTTACTGCTGTCACCGTGTCATAGAACTCCAGTAGGTTTGTGATGCAGGATTTCCCATTCCTGGAACCATGTTGGCTGTCGTTGATAAGCTCATTTGTTTCTAGGTGCTCCACCACTTTTCTCCTGATAATCTTCTCCATGACCTTGCATAATAATAATAATAATAATAGTTTATTAGGATATGATACATAGTTGTACAAGGTATTATAGTAGTTGGGTGTACGTGTCAAAAGCCCCTCATACTATACACGTCAGTGACACTGGTATGTAGTTTAGTGCTTTGTGTCTGTCTCCTTTTTTAAAAACTGGGACCACATTTGCTGTCTTCCATACTTCTGGTAGTCGCCTTGTTTCGATAGATGTGTTGAAGATAGTTGTTAGTGGTACACAAAGTGCCTCTGCTCCCTCTCTCAGGACCCATAGAGAGATGTTATCCGGCCCCATCGCCTTTGAGGTATCTAGCTCGCTTAACAGCCTCTTCACTTCTTCCTCGGTTGTATGTATTGCGTCCAACACTTGGTGTACTGCACCTCTCTGCCTTTCTGGAGGCCCTTCTGTCTCCTCTGTGAACACTTCTTTGAATCTCATCTTGAGCTCCTCACATACTTTGCGGTCATTATTTGTGACTTCCCCTCCTTCCTTCCTCAGCCTGATTACCTGGTCCTTGACTGTTGTTTTCCTTCTGATGTGGCTGTACAGCAGCTTTGGGGGTGTGTGTTTGGGGGTGTTTTTTTTAAATAAACAAACTATTTCACAAACACAGTAATCTGTCAAAATAGCAGCACACATGAGCTAATGGCACATTGAAACCAGCACCATTTATAGAGTGCTCTGTTGTGCAGTGGCAGAACTTGGTAACACATGAATAGTATTTGTTTACATCTGCCACTTTGAAAAATGAACTCTGTACTGTTAGCATGCTACAGTATACAGTGCCACTTTACCTTTGTTGTATTTGTATGTAATTAATTGAATGAGTTAACTTACAAATGAAGTGAAGAAAAAACAAACACCCTTAAAACCTAGTGACAAACTTGATACATATGAGAAAGAAACTAGAACATGGTGTAAATAGAAGTGTGCTAATGACAGGATAAAACATTGTATCATCAACATTATATGATATTAAATAGTCAAAAAAACTTAATAAACAAGGGATAAATTGAAATAACAGCACCTTTAATCTCCAGGGGTACCATTATTCAGAAAGTTTACTGTACCATGTTGATCGTGCAACCATATATCTGAATTTGCTGAAAATAATATTTTTAGTTCAGTTTAATACCTCAAGTGTTAAATGTAACTGAAGCTGTATTTTCCTTTCACAATGAATGAGAAAAGCATGATACATTGGCTCCAGACCTATATACTTTTTTTTTTTTTTTCAACAAGTCGGTCGTCTCCCACCGAGGCAGGGTGACCCAAAAAAAAGAAAGAAAATCCCCAAAAAGAAAATACTTTCATCATCATTCAACACTTTCACCACACTCACACATTATCAGTGCTTTTGCAGAGGTGCTCAGAATACAACAGTTTAGAAGCATATACGTATAAAGATACACAACATATCCCTCCAAACTGCCAATATCCCAAACCCCTCCTTTAAAGTGCAGGCATTGTACTTCCCATTTCCAGGACTCAAGTCCGACTATATGAAAATAACCGGTTTCCCTGAATCCCTTCACTAAATATTACCCTGCTCACACTCCAACAGATCGTCAGGTCCCAAGTATCATTCGTCTCCATTCACTCCTATCTAACACGCTCATGCACGCTTGCTGGAAGTCCAAGCCCCTCGCCCACAAAACCTCCTTTACCCCCTCTTTCCAACCCTTTCGAGGACGACCCCTATATACACTATTTAAATATAGTGTACCTCTGTGTTGGACTGTATATGATCTGGGATGTAAACGCCAATACTTATCTGCTCTTCAACATGTGTACATAGATCTGTGCACTCTTCCACGTACATGCTCAGATTTGTGTGTTCTAGGAAGTATGTAATTCCCTATTTGCAGCTACAGGATCAGAGCTACGCTCTTGAGGTTCTGTCTTCGATATTAGTTTGTCATGTGTACAGTTTTTTTAAACTTCTAGTAGCGGTAGTTCTTATTACCTCTTGTAAGTCATTCTATTATTCCACCACTTTTGTGAAGAATAACTTCATAGTATTCTTTCAGCACCTCCTCTTTCTTGGTTTGTAGCTATGGCCTCTTGTTCTCCTTGCTAATGATTATTATGTTTTAACTTGTCGTTATGTTTTTCAAAGACGGACTCCATACCACTGCTAAATACTTCAGTTTTGGTTGAATGTATATTGTGAACAGCTTTTTTAGTTTTTCTATATCATATCTGTATCTCTAAAGACTGTTGGCTTTTGGTGCAGTGGAGTATCTCGCTACTGGTATTTCTTTTGTGGGATTTTCTAGTGATGACCACTTGGTCCCTCTCTTTGTATGATGCCTTAAGTATTTATTATGTAATCTGTATTCTTTGTATAGCCTCTTTTCACTTTCACCTGTTTTTATTACTTAGTACTTATCCACATTAAATTCCATAATTCATTGATCATACCACTTGATTAATCTATCCAGGTTTTTCTGCACGAGTCTTTTTTTTTTTAACCTTTCATAGGATCTTTGCATCATCTGCACAAGTATTTGTATACATTCTATTCTTTCAGTCTGGTGATATTACCCCATGAGGATATTTTAGCTTGTGTCATTGTTCACATTTGACCTTCAAAAAGAAATTCTCTCATCCACTGTAATATCTATACTTCTCTTCCTCCTTTGCTTGGCATTTCCCAGATCAAACAGTTATGAAAATGCTCTCAAAAGCATTGTTAAAATTTCAGTAAATGTCAATGTCATAGTAGCTTAGTGTATTTGTATACTGTATTGGGTACAGAATTTACTGACCAAAGACTTAGTTGTTTGCTAGTTATTAAAAAGTGTTATGTTTATTTTTCTTTAGTGGCTCATTAGAGAAATGTGATTGCTTACCAGCAAGACAGGCCTGCTTGAAAGTTACAGTTTCATTAGTTAAGCATAAAGAATTGTGTTATTAGATCATTGGGGTTTTTATACAATAATACAAGCCAGTTATGTACATTACAGGTAATTAATGCACTGCCTCGTGCCTGGGTGAAAAGTGAGGAAACTCATGCTTTCCTTGGACGTCTTGAAGACTTCTTAGTGAAGCTTGCTGAAAAACTTGACCCTGCTGCTCACTCTCCAGCTCTGAAGGAAGTGTGTGACCTCTTAAAATCCATTGGTGCACAGAGTCAAGCAGACAAAATAGCCTACAAGTACCTGTAATTATTAAGAAAAAGGTAGTCAGTAGTTGGGACTGGTTGCATTGTAAATGTACTGAATAGGGATGCCGTATATAATTTATAATGTACTGTATTTTTTTAACGTGTACTGTACTTTTTTTTAATTATTAACTTGTAATACTGTCTTCTTTTATACCTGTGAATTTGAGCTGAATGCCATCTGTCAACTTTGTATATACAGTATTTGAACATTTGCATTATTTAAAGATACATGTGTTTGCATGAATATGTACAGTATGTTGCAAAAATATAAATTAGGCAGAATATTCAGTATTGTTGTAACATCATAAAATTTCATTGAAACGGCTTTTTTGTATAATTTTTTAATATGAAGATTATATAAAAATAAACCATTAAAGACATACTGATTTTTTACTAAGGTACCTGCAGATGGTGGGTTGCCTTAATAGTGTTGATGTGTTTATCTTGTATTTATGTTAACTGATTGGTTATACAGCTACATTATTTCTGGAATATAATTTAAGAATGCTTCTTTGTATATTCATGTATTTATATAAAGATTGCACCATTTGTGCATATTAAAAAAACACTTTTTGTGCTAACTTTATCTTGTTGCATAGAAAAACAGGCACACTCTTATGAACTGTAAATTAAGTGCTAAGAGGAAGGTTGGCTCAGATGACAGGGGAGATATAGGTAAATAACCTGTCCTTCCCTCACTACCTCATTTTCAGCACCCTACTGCCCATTCAACAAATCAGTTTACATACACTTCAGTTACTCTACAACTCAGTTTCTGGACTCGACCTTTCTTGTAGCATCTGACTTGAAATTTAATAGTAACTAAGTGGAAAAATGTTACAGTGAAGAATGGAAGGTGGTTTACAGTAAAGGGAGAAAAATTAGATTGAAGCAGGCTTGAAGATTGAAAATCTTGTTGCCGTACTCAAGGACAGTACAGTGGACCCCCACATACCGTTGGCATCACATAACGTTAAATCCGCATACCGATACATTTTATCGCTAAAATTTTGCCTCGCATACTGCTAAAAAACTCGCTCAACGCTATTCGTCCGAGACGCGTCTAATGTGCGGCTTGAGCCAGCCTCACACGTTCCGCTGGTGGCATTGTTTACCAGCCAGCCTCCGTGGTAACATCCAAGCATACAATCGGAACATTTCGTATTATTACAGCGTTTTTGGTGATTTCATCTGCAAAATAAGTGACCATGGGCCCCGAGAAAGCTTCTCTAGTGCCAACCCTACAGGAATAAGGGTGAGAATTACTATAGATGAAGAAAGAGATCATTGCTAAGTATGAAAGTGGAGTACATGTCTCCGAGCTGGCCAGGTTGTATAGTAAATCCCAATCAACCATCGCTACTATTGTGTCCAAGAAAACTGCAATCAAGGAAGCTGTTCTTGCCAAAGGTTCAACTGTGTTTTTGAAACAGAGATCGCAAGTGATAGAAGATGTTGAGAGACTCTTATTGGTGTGGATAAACGAAAAACAGATAGCAGGAGATAGCATCTCTCAAGCGATCATAAGTGAAAAGGCTAGGAAGTTGCATCAGGATTTAATTAAAAAAATGCCTGCATCTAGTGATGATGTGAGTGAATTTAAGGCCAGCAAAGGTTGGTTTGAGAGATTTAAGAAGCATAGTGGTATACATAGTGTGATAAGGCATGGTGAGGCTGCCAGTTCGGACCACAAAGCGGCTGAAAAATATGTGCAGGAATTCAAGGAGTACATAGACAGTGAAGGATTGAAACCTGAACAAGTGTTTAATTGTGACAAAACAGGCCTGTTTTGGAAGAAAATGCCAAGCAGGACCTACATTACTCAGGAGGAAAAGGCACTCCCAGGACATAAGCCTATGAAAGACAGGCTTACTCTGTTGATGTGTGCTAATGCTAGTGGTGATTGCAAAGTGAAGCCTTTATTGGTGTATCACTCTGAAACTCCCAGAGTGTTCAGGAAAAACAATGTCCTCAAAGCTAATTTGTGTGTGCTGTGGAGGGCAAATAGTAAGGCATGGGTCACTAGGGACTTTTTCTATGACTGGTTACACCAAGCATTTGCCCCCAATGTGAAAAATTACCTAACTGAAAAGAAATTAGACCTTGAGTGCCTCCTGGTGTTAGACAATGCCCCTGGTCATCCTACAGACTTGGCAGAGTGACTTTGTGGGGACATGAGCTTCATTAAGGTCAAGTTTTTGCCTCCTAATACCACTCCTCTCCTGCAGCCCATGGACCAGCAGGTTATTGCAAACTTCAAAAAACTGTACACAAAAGCTCTGTTTGAAAGGTGCTTTGTAGTGACCTCAGAAACTCGATTGACTCTAAGAGTTTTGGAGAGAGCACTTTAATATCCTCAATTGTGTAAACCTTATAGGTAAGGCTTGGGAGGGAGTGACTAAGAGGACCTTAAACTCTGCTTGGGAGAAACTGTGGCCACAATGTGTAGACCAAAGGGATTTTGAAGGGTTTGAGGCTAACCCTGGGAATCCTATGCCAGTTGAGGAATCCAATGTGGCATTGGGAATGTCCTTGGGGTTGGAGGTTAGTGGGGAGGATGTGGAAGAGTTGGTGGAGGAGGACAATGAAAAACTAACCACTGATGAGCTGCTAGATCATCTTCATCAGCATGAAGCCACACCTGAGGAAACTGCTTCAGAGGAGGGGAGAGAGAAATTGAAGAAGTTGCCTACTTCAAAGATTAAGGAAATCTGTGCAGTGTGGCTTAAAGTGCAAAACTTAATGGATGAAAATCACCCTCAGACAGCTGTTGCAAGCCGTGCTGGTGACTATTACACTGACAATGTTGTGAACCACTTTAGGAAAGTCATAAAGGAACGAGAGGTACAGACCTCCAGTGACTCTAAAGCTGGTCCTAGTGGCATTAAAAGAAGAAGGGAAGTAACCCTGGAAAAGGACTTGACACCTCAAGTCTTAATGGAAGGGGATTCCCCTTCTAAACACTTATTTATTTATTTAGTAATTTGAACATACATACAGAGGTACAAAAAAATACAGGTAAGAGCAGCATGCCAAAGCCACTTGTATGCATAGCATTACGGGCTGGCTTAAAATTAACTTAAGATTAACTAAGCAATGAAGTAATCAGTGATAAAACATTATTGTAAACAGATAACAATAAAGCACAAATGAGTATTACAAACACAGGTCATATGGTTGCATGCATTGCTGTACATTCAGTCGAATGGAGTATTCTGTTAGGTAGTATATTTAAAAAATAACAAAGTTAGATTGGGTCTTAGGGTTAACATTTATGTGATATAATTGTGAGAAACATTTAAGAGATACAATTTATAAGGTTCAGTTATTCAGTATTTATTTGGTTTTGGGTGAGTAAGTGATCTTTGAGAAGAGACTTGAATTTATAAACAGGTAGTGTTTCTTTTATATTTACAGGTAATGAATTCCAGATTTTAGGGCCTTTTATGTTTACCTGGAGAGAGTTCCGGGGGTCAACGCCCCCGCGGCCCGGTCTGTGACCAGGCCTCCTGGTGGATCAGAGCCTGATCAACCAGGCTGTTTCTGCTGGCTGCACGCAAACCACCATACGAGCCACAGCCCGGCTGATCAGGAACTGACTTTAGGTGCTTGTCCAGTGCCAGCTTGAAGACTGCCAGGGGTCTGTTGGTAATCCCCCTTATGTGTGCTGGGAGGCAGTTGAACAGTCTCGGGCCCCTGACACTTATTGTATGGTCTCTTAACGTGCTAGTGACACCCGTGCTTTTCATTGGGGGGATGGTGCATCGTCTGCCAAGTCTTTTGCTTTCGTAGTGAGTGATTTTCGTGTGCAAGTTCGGTACTAGTCCCTCTAGGATTTTCCAGGTGTATATAATCATGTATCTCTCCCTCCTGCGTTCCAGGGAATACAGGTTTAGGAACCTCAAGCGCTCCCAGTAATTGAGGTGTTTTATCTCCGTTATGCGCGCCGTGAAAGTTTTCTGTACATTTTCTAGGTCGGCAATTTCACCTGCCTTGAAAGGTGCTGTTAGTGTGCAGCAATATTCCAGCCTAGATAGAACAATGACCTGAAGAGTGTCATCATGGGCTTGGCCTCCCTAGTTTTGAAGGTTCTCATTATCCATCCTGTCATTTTTCTAGCAGATGCGATTGATACAATGTTATGGTCCTTGAAGGTGAGATCCTCCGACATAATCACTCCCAGGTCTTTGACGTTGGTGTTTCGCTCTATTTTGTGGCCAGAATTTGTTTTGTACTCTGATGAAGATTTAATTTCCTCATGTTTACCATATCTGAGTAATTGAAATTTCTCATCGTTGAACTTCATATTGTTTTCTGCAGCCCACTGAAAGATTTGGTTGATGTCCACCTGGAGCCTTGCAGTGTCTGCAATGGAAGACACTGTCATGCAGATTCGGGTGTCATCTGCAAAGGAAGACACGGTGCTGTGGCTGACATCCTTGTCTATGTCGGATATGAGGATGAGGAACAAGATGGGAGCGAGTATTGTGCCTTGTGGAACAGAGCTTTTCACCGTAGCTGCCTCAGACTTTACTCTGTTGACGACTACTCTCTGTGTTCTGTTAGTGAGGAAATTATAGATCCATCGACCGACTTTTCCTGTTATTCCTTTAGCACGCATTTTGTGCGCTATTTACGCCATGGTCACACTTGTCGAAGGCTTTTGCAAAGTCTGTATATATTACATCTGCATTCTTTTTGTCTTCTAGTGCATTTAGGACCTTGTCGTAGTGATCCAATAGTTGAGACAGACAGGAGCGACCTGTTCTAAACCCATGTTGCCCTGGGTTGTGTAACTGATGGGTTTCTAGATGGGTGGTGATCTTGCTTCTTAGGACCCTTTCAAAGATTTTTATGATATGGGATGTTAGTGCTATTGGTCTGTAGTTCTTTGCTGTTGCTTTACTGCCCCCTTTGTGGAGTGGGGCTATGTCTGTTGTTTTTAGTAACTGTGGGACGACCCCCGGTGTCCATGCTCCCTCTCCATAGGATGGAAAAGGCTCGTGATAGGGGCTTCTTGCAGTTCTTGATGAACACAGAGTTCCATGAGTCTGGCCTGGGGCAGAGTGCATGGGCATGTCATTTATCGCCTGTTCGAAGTCATTTGGCGTCAGGATATACATCGGATAGGCTTGTGTTAATCAAATTTTGTGGCTCTCTCATAAAAAATTCATTTTGATCTTCGACTCTCAGTCTGGTTAGCGGCTTGCTAAAAACTGAGTTATATTGGGACTTGAGTAGCTCACTCATTTCCTTGCTGTCATCTGTGTAGGAACCATCTTGTTTAAGTAGGGGCCAATACTGGACGTTGTTCTCGATTTTGATTTGGCATAGGAGAAGAAATACTTTGGGTTTCTTTCGATTTCATTTATGGCTTTTA